CGGCCACTACGTTAGCTTTCCCCGGATGATAGGCTATCTCCAGATCATAATCTGCAATCAACTCCAACCATCTCCGCTGTCTCATATTCAGATCCTTCTAAGATATCACATAAGTCAAGCTCTTGTGATCCGTCTTCTGTTTGTCATCCTCCTTGACTCGAATTTGATGATATTCGGATCGTAGATCGATCTTCGAAAACCACTGGACTCCCTGTAGTTGGTCCAGTAACTCATCAATCCTCGGTAGCGGGTACCGATTCTTGATAGTCACTTGGTTGAGCCCTCGGTAATCGATGCACAACCGCATACTCCCGTCCTTCTTTTTCACGAAGAGTACCGGTGTTCCCCACGGTGAAACGTTGGGGCGTATAAACCTTTTTCATTTATTCGTTCAACTACTCCTTCAATTCGATCATCTCAACCGGTGTAATCCGGTATGGAACCTTGGTGGTTGACTCTGTACCCGGTAGTATGTCAGTAGTGAAATCCATTTCTCCCCTTGACAGAAATTCCGACAAGTCATCAGGGAAAAGCATTAGTAGAAAGTCCCGGGTAACCGTCGTGTCCTCCAATCTATGCTTCGGGTAACAAGGAATGCCCCGTTGCTCTTCTTGATTATCTTCTTTTCGGTCCTTCGTATTGAACTTAAGGGGGTCCTCTACTAATGTAAATATAGTTGGCGAACGAGATAAGTCCTCCCCCTTTGTCTTAAATGCCCACTGGGGTTAGGTTGGTGTATGTTCCTTTAGAAACTGCTATAGGGCCTCTTAGGGATTTCAGAATCATTTCCCTAATTCCAATCCCTTAGTTTAGGCATTGGGTTTAATTGTGGAAATTGTTTATCTCCATTTAAGCATATAATGGCGACATTCTAAATGGACCATGTTAAATTCACTAAGCCTTCGACGACTCCAGTTTACATCATCAATGTACGGACCTCGACATGTGAGGATTTTCTTCGGACATGGTTTGAAAACATTTTCGTAGAAAACCATTGGGTAACGAGTACGATTCCTTCCCGAGGAAAGAACGTGGCTCTGATACCAAAAGTTGTGACACCCATAACCCGTGTACAGTATACGGGCTGTGCCACATGGACAAATAGTGATAAAATAATAATAATGCGGAAGCAAAAATACGAAATCTAAAAAAACATTTTAAATAATCCAGAGTAAGCAGCGAAAAATACAACAGGCGATCAGTATCGCAAAATAACACATGTCCGAATAGTTATAATTTAACCGTACAAAATACGGGAAATACAAGTCTCTTAACCCAAAATGTAAATCTCGTACATGATGTTGCCTCTCTCAGGCATCGTCTACCGGATGCGCTAGGCGTAATCCTCGTGATCTGAAAAATGTAAACCACGAGGGCTAAGCACAACTGCTTAGTGAGTAGCCCGGGTTGAACCCGGAAATCTCGTTCCCAACGAGAACGGTACAGTCGACATTTCCATAAAGAAAACACATGCAATAAGTAAAAACACGGTAAGCACGTAAATAGCAATCACAATCACGCCCGTATGGAGTCTACCATAGGGCTTAGCCGTATACCCTGGTCAAGTCCATCGCATCGCATGCGATCATGCGCGTCTCCTGCGCCTGTCACTCTCGTGACTACCGATGTCAAGTCCATGACACAACGGAAATACAATCATCCCCATATGGAGTCCACCATAGGGTCCAGCCATATACCCTAGTCAAGTCCATGACTAGGTGCGAGTCCACGCCCGTCAAATCCATGATGTTGGCCGTCGTGTCGCACACGACTAAAACGCATCTCAAATGCCCATCAAGTCCATGATGGTGATGGTTGAGTCCACAACCATCCACAAACACAATCACGCTTAACTCGTACGCACGAGCAAGCTACACACATGGCACACAACGTGCAACATCCTCATAGTACAACCATACGTATCACGGTATCCGGTCCCTACCGAACTACCGTTTAACGCCATGCAAATTCTACCCGCATACAGTCACACAACGATCACTCGTATTTCGATATCGCACATCTCACAACGCTACGCAACGTTCTGGCGAAAACTCGGTTCGATTGATCCCAATCGCGAAGTCTTGTCCTCTGGTGGGGGTTGGTTTGTCCACGGTCAAGTCTAGTCAGACCCGGGCCAACCCCGTTGGCCGTTTCCTTTTTCCGGTCAAAATCAGATTTTTCTCCCATTTTTCTCGGATCCTGGTCCGGCGGACCAAGTTCTGGTCAGCCGGACCAGTCTTCTTTCTCCCCTGGTCCGCTCCGTCTCTTGGTCAGTCGGTCCGAGAGGGAAAACAAGCCTAGTCCGGCGGACCAGAATTGGTCAGCCCCGGACCAGCTTGTTCTTCCCCTATCTCGGTCCGGTTCTTGGTCAGCGGTACAAGATTTGTCGGAGTACGTCTGGTCCGGCGGACCAGGACTGGTCAGCCCCAGACCAGACGACTCTTTCACATGGACTAGCGTCATGACTTGAATCTCATACGACGATTCCATGATT